AATAGAGTAGGTTTTTATAAAGTTATTTTTAATAATGCAATTCAACACAAAAAAGGCAAAACAAAATAAAAACTTAGCTACTCTTTAGTGTAAAATCACCTGAAACCATCATTTATCATCAATAACTGTCCAACTATTCTATCATATACAAATTGTGTGTGTTTTGCAATTACAGGTGGGAGCCAAAATATTGGATTTCTATCTACTAAAGAGTTTAGTTGTATTTCAAGTATTTGATGGGGAGAATAGTGCCATTTTGAAAATAAACAAATAAGCTCAAAGTCACAGATTACTTAACCTTCCTGAACCTTAGTTATTTCAAATGTAAAACAGCAACAGTTAGAATATATGTAATTTATGGAGTTATTGTTAGGATCAAATGCAATATGTATGTAGAAGGCAGCCGCAAATTGCAAACTGATGATCAAATGTTGGATTTTACTTCACCTAGTATACTTCAATTATTTAACAGATTCTCAGAATTAGTGTTTGACAACTTTATTCTTCCAAAATACTTACTGGTATAGACAAGTTGAAAGCCTTCATCTGTCCCTTCAGAATCAGAATTAAATTCTAGCCAGAGCTGATTTGAAGTACTACTAAGAGTCAGTCCTCGCATAGACGCTCCAGTGAAAGCACCTAATAGATGAGTCGTTTTATCTTTTCCATCATAAATCTGAAAAATATATTTATAATTAAAATGTAAATGTGCCAATAATAACTAATTCAGATGATGTATTTATATCTACATAAAATAAAAAATTATCATAATCTTCCTAAATAAGTTTACTACATGTTTTCAAAGGAAAATTACACATGTATATTGATTCCTGTAAATATCAGGCTAAGTGTTAAAATTCACATGGGTAATTTTAAAATTCCAAACTCAGTAGAAGATAAGTAATACTCAAACCCATGTTATATAACTTCTCTTATTATGAAAGCAATCCTTTCTTCTTCTTTTTTAATGGCAGACTTAAAAAGCTGATATTAACTACAAAGAGATTTATTTCCAAGGTTGGTTGATTGGTTGTTTTTCTGCAACTTGCTCAAGGGGACCAAACACCTGCTTTTCTAATAATATAAATCATACAAAATGTACATGCTTCTTTTTCAATTTCTATAATTTACCCATTTACTTTAACTTACCTAATTTTTACATTTTTAAAAAAATATATTTTTATTGATTTCAGAGAGGAAGGGAGAGGGAGAGAGATAGAAACATCAATGATGAGAGAGAATCATTGATTGGCTGCTTCCTGCATGCCCCCTACTGGGAATCAAGCCTGTAATCCAGGCATGTGCCCTTCACCAGAATCAAACCTGGACCCTTCAGTCCATAGGCCGATGCTCTAACTATTGGGCCAAACCAGCTAGGGCACAGTCTTAAAATATTAATTTAGAACAGTGCTAAATGCTTTTAGAAACTAATTTAACAACTCAAAAATATACAAAAGCAAAATTGATAAGCTCCCAAGTATCCCTCTATCATTCTCATTCTCACTGCATTCTGACTTGCTTTTCTTTTATCAATACAGTCTAGACATCTCTTCAGGTCAGAAGATAAAGAGGCTTCCTTTTGAACACTGTGTAATATTTTTAAAATATATTTTCATTGATTTTTAGAGAGTGAGGAAAGTAGAGAAAGAGAGAGAGAAAGAGAGAGAAGCATCCATGAGAGAGTGAAGCATAGACTGGCTGCTTCCTGTATGCCCCCTCCTGGGGACTGAGCCCACAACCCAGGCATGTGTCCCAACTGGGATTCAAACCAGCAAACCTTTTGGTGCTCAGAACAATGTCCAACCAACTGAGCCATCCCGGCCAGGGCAGGGTAATACTTAATACAGTGACATTACCACAACTTGCTGTATCATTCCCATATTGATGAATTCAAGTTGTTGTTTTTTTACCACTAAAATTAATGCTGAAATAAGCATTTTTTATATAAACTCTCATTATTTGGTACTTGTATTTCAATAAGACTTTATTCAAAATATGGTATTTCTGGGCTAAAACGTATTGCCAGATTATTTTCCAAAAAGTGTGTAGTAATTAAACTGAAGGTTTACCAGTAATGCATGTTAGCACTGCTTTTCCTTAGAAGCATGTGCTTTCAATGTGGGGTTATTACCTCCAAGGAGGTGGAAATTGGCTCTTGTGGGTCATAAACTCTTAGATATTATGATGATTTGTGGTCCTACAAAGATCAACTCTATCTTACAAATATTATTCCATAGTATTTAGTTTCATGGAGTTGGGGTTGAGAGTTCTTAGGTGAATGTTATAGAGTAGAGAAAGCTGAGAAATACTCCTCAAAGTTATTTGTCTCTTGCCTGACATTAGAGTAGGAAAGTGGATCACTAAACTCCTAATCTAGTGATCTTGCCAGAGCAGCAATGTTCCCCAAAGTGGTATTTATGCATTGTGTTAAGTACTATCCTTCTTGACCCAGAGAAAATTTTAAAAAACGATCCAATATTTTCTGTTATTGGAGAAATATATTTATTTCGAGTCTTTCTATTTTTTTTAAGCTAGCATAATACTTTTTTTCAAAAGAAACTTTCTTAGAAACATACTTTTAAGAAATTATTAAAAGAAAAGGCACTAATGTTAAAAATATATAACAGGAAAAGAATTATCATGTGCCCAGCTGGGAGGAGCTAATTCAACACTTAAACTCACTAAATAAAGATTATTTAATAATGTACAGTCAAAAGGTAGAAAACAAACACTAAAAGAGCACTACTCTATCAACAAAGTAAAATGAAGCATGATCATTCAACCGTGAATTTTAAAAGAATGTATAAAATTATTAAATCCAATGACACAAGTGTAAATTAGGAAGGCTTTAAAAAGATAAGAGTTTTATAGTAATAATCAAGTCAATGCTTTTAACTGGTAAATAAAATCCTTCAAATGTATTCAAAAACATATGGAAGCATACAGGCAACAGGGAAGGACAATGTAGTATAGTAAAAAACAAATTACTTTTGAAAGAGACATGAATATAAGCATAGAAGTAAGAGGATAAAAGAACCAAAATGTACTTTCATTTAAAAGTAAATTTACTTTACAGAGTGATTATTGGGTCTAATCAGAACCATACAGAACTTTTATTTGAGACTGTTACTTCTCATATTTCTATTCTTATTAAAATAAGGATCTTTACGAATATTTTTATTTACTTGGGCCTATTTTTCTTTTTTAAAATATAATATTTTATTATTATTATTTTCAGCATATATCTTAATATCTATTTTTTTCAAAAAGCTAAAAGAAATAAGATAACTGTATAATATTATACTTTTTAATTGGAAATGAATAAATTCTTGGTGTTTCCCACAGAAACATTCTTAGTTACTTAGCACCTAATTCAGATAATAAAGACTTACTTTTATGCCAAATATAGAATTTCAAATCAATTTAAGAATTAATAGTATGAAAGTCATTGAGCCCTTTTATAATGTTAATAAAACTCTTTGGTAAGACTAATTTGTTAAAAGGTTGCCATTTATCTCGTAGTTTAACACTAGAACAGACTAAAATTTAATATTGCCATGTTTCAATTACCAAAACTTTTGTAATGGATCAGGGCTTGAAATGAGTTATGGTGTATAGACTCCTAGGTTCGAAAGGTCAAACCTTATTATGATGAACTGATGATCAACATTCAAAACTGTTGTTAATTTTATAATGAATGTATGTTATAAAATATATGCTCAGTCATTTCTCCAATGAATTAGCAAGAAAGGTGTTATCTAAATTTAAGAACAGATAGTACATAAAAAAGTAAGAGAGAAATTACACATGTACTTATGTATATGAACATTTGAATTATTCCTACTCATGGACATTACAAATTTAATGTTTTGTCATTTGTTTTATAGGTTGATTTGTAAACTTAAATACATTTTTCTAACAAGGTAAGGAAGATGTCAAAGTGTGAATGAAAAAGAATGTTTTTCAATGGTCAATCAAAAAGGACTCTATTTGAAATCTTACGTTTTTTCCAAAAGTAATATGAAACAAAGCAGAGAACTTGTATTCAAAAATATTTATGTCTCTGAAATAGCTATATATTGTGTCCTCAATTATATGAGCCAGCATATTCTAATAAGGGAGTTGCGGCACAATGAAGGGTCCACTTTTCAGGGGCGTAAGCTTTATAGTTATACTAGAGGCTCGGTACACAAAAATTCTCTCACAGTCCAGGACCCCTCAGGGGATGTCCACCTGCTGGCTTAGGCCCGCTTCCTAGGCCTGGAAGCCCTCAGGGGATGTCTGACTGACATCATTAGTGCTGCCTAGGAGGTGTGAGAGGCTCCCGCCACTACCACTGCGCTCATAGCTGTCAGCCCAGCTTGTGGCTGAGTGGAGCTCCCCCGTGGGAGCGCACTGACCACCAGGGGGCAGAGTCTGCATTGAACGTCTGCCCCCTGGTGGTCAGTGCGCATCATAGTGACCAGTCGTTCCACTGTTAGGGTCAATTTGCATATTACCCTTTTATTATATAGGACTAGAGGCCCGGTGCACAAAAATTTGTGCCCTCGGGGGTAGGGGGGTTCCTCAGCCCAGCCTGTGCCCTCTTGCAGTCTGGGACCCCTCGGGGGTGACCACTTGCTGGCTTAGGCCCGCTCCCCGGGGGAATTGGGCCTAAGATGGCAATCAGACATCCCTCTGGCAGCCCAGGAGCCTTTGGGGATGTCCACTTGCCAGCGGGGAGCATACCTAAGCTGCAGTTGGACATTCTTAGCACTGCTGAGGAGGCAGGAGAGACTCCCACCACCACTGCTGTACTGGCAGCCATCAGCCTGGCTTGTGGCTGAGCAGAGCTCCCCCATATGGGAGCACACTGACCACCAGAGGGCAGCTCCTGCATTGAGCATCTGTCCCCTGGTGGTCAGTGTGTGTCATAGTGACCAGTCATTCCCAGTCTTTCTGCTGTTAGGGTCAGTTTGCATATTACCCTTTTACTATCCAGCCTTTTTTTTTTTTTTTTATTCTGGGATTTATTTATCTTCTATAGCTGTCACTGGAGCTGAGAGCCGGCTCCAGCTCTGAGCCCACTGCCGGCTGAAAGCAGATACCTAGGGTTTGTTTAGCTTCTATAATTGCAACATTGTTGCATCTGGAGCTCAGAGCTAGGCTGCTGCAGGTGGGGAACCTTGGCTTCCTCCATCACTGGAGCAAGCAAGCCTCCTGCTCACTTCAGCTGCCTGGCTGCCGGCCACCATCTTGGTGAGAGCCGGCTCCAGCTCTGAGCCCACTGCCGGCTGAAAGCAGATACCTAGGGTTTGTTTAGCTTCTATAATTGCAACATTGTTGCATCTGGAGCTCAGAGCTAGGCTGCTGCAGGTGGGGAACCTTGGCTTCCTCCATCACTGGAGCAAGCAAGCCTCCTGCTCACTTCAGCTGCCTGGCTGCCGGCCACCATCTTGGTTGGCAGTAAATTTGCATATGCTGCTGATTTGCCAATGGGAAGCGTAGCGAAGGTATGGTTAATTACCATGTTTGTCTATTATTAGATAGGATAACAAACTTGAAGCCCCAACTCTACCACTGAAGTTGTAAGTCCTGTCACAAATCATTTTACATCTGTGATCCTCAGCACGGGAGAGAGTGAAGGGTTTTTTGAGGCCTACCACAGCACTTTATACTAATGAATATTTAGAGAGTGATTTTGAGAGGGGTGGTAAAGGATTAGCAGTGAAAAACAAGCAGAGCTGATAGATATGTGTGCTAAGCGGATGTGCTGGAAAATATTTAGCTACCAGGTCTCAAACAAATAAAATTGAGGAATGTATATATTCATGCACAGCATTAAAAATAACTTTTATTGACATAAAGAGAAGTTGACAAACTTTTTCTGAAAAGAATAAGATAGTAAATATTTCAGGCTGCTGGGGTCATAACATTTCTGTTGCCACTACTCAATCATGCCATTGCAGTACAAAATCAGCTATAAACACTATGTCAATGAATAAACATGGCCTTCTCCTAATAAAATTTTACTTACAGAAACAGGTCTTAGGCCAAATTTGTCCCTTAGAGTGTTGTTTATGAATCCCTGATTTAAGGGATGTGTAGCATGCAATTTACAAATAGTAATAAAATATACAATATTCATTATAGTAAATTCCATAGAGCTAATTGGTTGTCATAAAATGTTTTCAGTGTTTTTTTGCCAAACCTTTTTTTTTTCCTGCAAGTTACAATTGCAACTGACAAACAAGAGTAGAATATGGTTTGATTATTTTTATGTTAAGTTAGATAAAAGTGAAACATCAAAAAATAGCTATATTAGGCCCAGCCGGCATGGCTCAGTGGTTGAGCATCGACCTATGAACCTGGAGGTCACGATTTAATTCCTGATTGGGGCACATGACTGGATTGCGGGTTTGTTCCCCAGTGTGGGGCGTGCAGGTGGCAGCCCATCAATGACTCTATCAGAACAAAACTGATTTCTAAATGATATGAGCAACTTTTCTAAGTGGAATAATAGTTTTCAAATACTAGGAAAAATATCTTCTCAATTTTTTTGTGCTATGCACAATGTAATTTCTATAGACACAACACATCTCTAAGTATAGATATGAGCAAAACAATAAATCTAGTCAGTATTTGTGGTGTTTGATAATGTCTGCAGTATAAATGCCCCTATTATTGATACTATTGTAATTTAACCTAGTTACTAACAGCTGGAAAGGAGTAAAGGGAAGGCCAAATAGTGCAGGCATTCATTTGTGCAGCTTTGTCAGGAAGATGCATTATAGAAGCATGCCCAGTAAAGTCCAGATGAAATAGGGAAGGTACTTTCTGTCAGTCACAGCTGGGAACAGATCATGGGTGAGAGTTGGCCTGGCCACTGCAATCGCAGGAAGAAAGGAGATGTTTCATTTCCTAAACAAAGGACTTCTTTCTCCTGGCTCCTGGGGCTCTTGGGACCCTTGCTGCAGGGGTTGTGCTCCATGAGCTCCCCTGCATTTGCCCACATGACCCACAGCCACGTGGACCCCACACGATGGACTGATGGACTGCGACTAGCCTACTGCTGTACCGGATCCAGCTCCCCATGGAACAGGAAGTTTAGACCCTGGCTTTGCTTCTCACTCTACTGAAACCCCAGCTGCACATCTTCCAGGACTGGATCAAGGGAAACAATGCTTTGGAAACTGAGGGATGTAATTCCACACAAAAGAAAGTCACTCATCCTCCCATGTGAGTCTCAGAAAATTCTTTTTCTTGAGCTATCATAAGAACCCCGCCCTGAGCACGTATGTGGGAAAAGGGATGCCTCCCTTTCACTGATGACACTATAACCAAGATCACACTATCCATGTAACGTCATTGAATGCAGAGTTGGGAAGAGATGCACACTCTGACCTAGTATCTCCACCATAGAGATGCAATACACTACACAGTGAGCCTAAAGAGCACAGATAATAGTAAAAGTAGTAAAACAATTAGGAAATTAAAGTTGTACTTATTACCTTTGCTTTTAATATAATTTTAATTAATTTAATTACAATCTAATTTTTAATAATGGCTATGTATAACAACTAGTTCACAAAATTACTGACAGTTTAACAACAGGCGCTTACAAGTGGCACTCCCAAAGACTCACAGGCATGTTAGGAAAAAGCTTGAAAATAATACATCTTAGAAAACAACAGTAACAACACATTAATAATCTTCATATCATACCCCTAAAATAGGTTATTAATCAAGCCCTTCAAATATTGACTTTTTCATAAATATGACATTAATTTTCCTAACCCTTGTTTTTTGGACTCTCAAAATCAATTTTGAGTTATTTTGCTGGCTCTTTTCCATAATCATCCATTTAGTCTATTCTGCATAAGAAATAAGTCTTTCAACTACACAATGCTGACTGTGGTAGAATGATTCCCTTGAATGTTGTCTTTGCTAAACACAGCAACAACGAAAACAAAAACAGTATTTCTGATTGGTATTCAACTTTCATGCTATCAGGCTGACAATGGGAACTATTCATTGTTGATTGTTTAGAGTCTACATCTAATTAAATATCTCCTTTAAATGTGAATTGAGAGAATTAATTACATCACACATTTTGCGTAAGGGTTTGGAAAGTTCAATATTCTTGCTGATTGAAAGGAATCAAACCAAAGAAAAATATATTCATAATTCAAAACCTGCTGATCATCAGATAATCTGGAGAGTTTTATAAAAATACATGATCCTAGGTGTAGACTAACTGAAACAGTTTCTCCAGATCTAAGGAGTCAGAAAATCTGGTAGTGATGCCAGGAATAGACTACCTAGAAGGGTCATATGGTCCTCTACACTTGATATAAACTTTACTAGTGTGGTTACAAATAAAGTAGTGTATGGAAGGAGAGGGGAGGGTGAGAGAGTATGAGTGAGTAAGTGAGCAGCAAAATAGATTGTGAACTCTCAAAGAGGAAAAGTATGTGTGTGTGTGTCTTTAGATATAGCTAAATACGTACACATATTTTCTATTGTGATTGTTTTTGTTTTTATTAGAACCCAATACAGTAATGTTATAGTTTAAGAGAAACCAGAAAAAAAAACCACCACCTTGCAAACTCTATACTCCAATCTAAATATATATAAAAGCCTAAGCGACCATCTGACCATTCAACCATCCGATCGGTAAGCTATGACACGCACTGACCACCAGGGGGCAGACACTCGACACAGGAGCTGCCGAGCTGTGGTGACTTGGCAACTGTAGTTCTTGGGGGGCACACCCGGAACCAGAGAAGAGGGAGCCCGATTCCAGGGTGTGTCACCCAAGAACTGCCTTCTTGCAATTCAGGAACCCTCGGGGTATGTCAGAGAGCGGGTTTCAGCCCGATCCCTGCAGGCCAAGCCAAGGGACCTCACCTGTGCACAAATCTGTGCACCAGGACTCTAGTAAACATTATAAGAGAATTTAGCCAATCCTACCACATAAACAATGCTTTTAATTTCTCTTGGTCAAGAGGATTCTATAATGGCCTATTGTTTTACTTATTTCTTCTTATTTCCTAATCTGAATCTCTTAAGAGAACTGTTTCTACTAGGTTTAGAAACTGGCTTTGCTTCTATCTCTACTGAAAACCCAGCTGCACATCTTCTAGGACTGGATTAAGGGAAACAGTACTTTGGAAACCCGGGGATGCAATTCCACACAAATAAAAATCTGGGGAGTGCCGGGGATTTGGGATGGGCTCTTGTGGACTAGTTTGCAGTTAAAGCAACTGAACTTTTATCCTTAGAGGACTTTGGAGTCCAAAATCTGAGAATTTTTCATTTTTGCTTTGGAGGGTGCATCTGACTGCTTGTGCATGTAGGTGTCTGAACTAATCATTGGTCTTGGGATTAATGGGAGGAAAAAGGTAACATATAAACATTTTACATCTTACACTGATGGACAGACCATGAAGAAGTCAAACTTGGAAGGTAAAAACTCATCCCAAATCATCTCTGTAGAGTGGCTTGTTAAAGTCATTTTTAAATAACAATTTAGAATAAATCCCAGGCAAGACTAGCAGTAGGGGGATAATAGAATTGATAGTTTCTATTGTAACATTGAGTATATTATATTTTCAACTTTGGAAATTATTCTAGGAAAATACCAAAAAAATCTTAAAAAATGCTAGGAATATAAATTTTCATTCCTTCATCAATTAAACAAAAATCATTATTTAATTAAATCCACTATAGTGCATTAAATTGAAGTTTTTTCTTTTCTTTCTTTCTTTCTTTCCATTATCTCTCACCATCACATCCCCTCACATAGTCACTATTACTGAGGTCCTGCTCTTTCTCAAGGTAACACATGTCACAAGTGCATGTGAAATTCCTCCAAACAAGTACGGCATTAGAGAGCACGCTGAGGAACACGCTACAGCAATTTTATTTTTATACTGCAAATAATAAACATTATTCAGTATGGAAAAGGAATCCATACATTTCAAGCATCATAGAGAGAGCAGACAAATATTTTAGGAAGGGTGGGCAAGTGCTGCCTGACTTTAACACATAAATGCATGTTTATTATTGTTGCTTGTGTGATACTGACTAGTGGCTGTGCTTACCCTTCTGATCTATGTCTTGATACATTTTTTCTCGCATAGTTAGCCTGATGGAGAAAAGGGCAAAACACAGGAATGGACTTAAATTAATACTAAAATTCTATATAATTAGGTGTAGTGCAGGAAGTTTTCCCATGTCTATACAAATCTTAGGTGCATATAGTACCGACTGTGTTAGGGAATCATGAATTATCATCATAATGATATTCTTTTTAAAAGAAGAAAATAACCAACAATCTAAAACCACTGC